CTCTTCTTTAATGTTGGCTCTGTGTTTTCAGGTAAGTAAAACCCTCATTTTCATTTCCTGAACTGTTATTGGTTCATATCAGGTAGATCGGCACGTCCCCATTTAATGCAAGGTTATGTTTCTTATAGTAGATCTCCTTACAGTTGTGGCCCATCCCCCACCCCTCCACCACCAGCGCTCTGGGGGTGATCCGTCTTAGCATTGTTGTCAACAGAATTAATACAGGACCTGACATGGACACCCCTAAAGCCCACTATGGCGTCTCATTACATTAGCTCTATGTCACCCGTCACATAAAAGCAGTAGTAACCACCGATCACTCTGGATTTGCCCAGTGACCTTCTACTAATCAAGGTTTAGCTGGTGTCCACCTGCCACAGCGTAATTTCTACTTCCTCTAGTCCAGCGCTAACCTTTTCCACCTAATCCCGTCCGCGCAGACGCCACACCTCCAGGCCAGGTGTGTAATCCGCACACTCAAAGCTGATGAATGAACGACGGATGAAAAAGCCTCATTTTAATCGAGCCGTGTTGCGGTTGGTGCAAATGAGGCGAGAAAACGCAATCGTGTTTAACATTTGAATAGCTGCCTCTCATTAATGTAGTAATGTATGTGTCGGTCTGAATACACGAGACCAGGCTAACCGGCAGCTGCGAGGAATTCAATGGGGAAAATAAATACATTATAATAACTAAATAAATGTAAGTATATCCTAAATAGTATGTTTTTTGTTGTGTTGATTATTGTATTATTTAATTTGGGATATTATTATAAGCTTTTACAGTTTTGTTGTTGTTTGAGGACCAGTAAGATTTAGACAAGTTAAATGCAAGTTACTTTCAGGTTTAAGCCATTTTTTTTGTTCAGCCCTTTGGAAACTGTCCATGGTAAGTGATTTATATAAACAAAATGGAGCCCAAGTTAAATCCATATTATATATATTTTAAAAAAGACCTACTATCTCTGGATACAAACACATTGCACAAAGTGGAAGTGTCGGTAAAACAGAAAGATAGTTTGTATATTCACCCATATTTGGAAGACAATCCTCTGCATACGTACTGAGTAGACCTATGTATGTTTTAATTTCATTCACTTTTTTGTATAATGTACTTCTACTATGCCTTTTGACATTAAAACATAATTACAATCCAATCGGCTAATAAAAAATAACACTGGAGAGATGGGCGCAGTGTTCTGTCCCAGCTTGACAATATGATTAATCTATCATATTGTCTACTGTGTTTATCCTCAATGAAAAGATTACTTTTTTATAAATACATTGACATTTAAAGTATGATTTAGCAGTAATTAATAAATGAACTCCAAACTTTTGAAGGGAAACGATAAGCTCCAGAAACGCCAGTGCAATATGTTTCCACACATCCTGCCTCTATCTAATTTTGCAGTAGCCTAACAGTCATATTTGTAGAACATGCTTTTGCTTCTTAAGATTATCCAGCACATTGCCTCTACACACACTCACACACACACACACACACACACACACACACACACACACACACACACACACACACACACACACACACACACACACACACACACACACACACACACACACACACACACACACACACACACACACCCACACACACACACACACACACACACACACACACACACACACACACACACACACACACACACAAACACACACACACACACACACACACACACACGGCTTTAATTTAATGAAGTCATGGCTGTTAGTGTGCGGCCTCCTCACAATGTAACTGGCTCCGAGTGGAGGTCTAATCCAGTGCAGACGGAGCCAAATAGGTCTTATCGTGGCCAGGGGGAAACATGGAGTCTTTGGCAGAGAACACTTGAATGGGGCCTGGAGCTGTATGGTACATAGAGAATAGTGCACACTGGTGCGGGGGAATCAAGGCTGCAGCAGAGACTGTATACACTGAGGAAATGGCTTTGGGAATGGTTATAGCCACAGTATTTTATGGACCGTCGAGAGTTCCCTTTAGATACCTTCATTAAAGCTGGGGTCACTCACTTGTTTCTTTCATATGTAATACATGTTGTACATTTGTCCAAACAGAAAGAGTCTGGTAAAAGTGAGATTGTGTATGAGTGAATAAGACTGCAAAATATGAAATGGTCTGTGAGTCGCTTTTTGCTGATTGGCTGAGAGGGTGGTCCTGTCTTTTTAAATGTTCTTGCTGACAAAGCTGATACAAGGAAAATACATATGAAAACCAATGAAAGAACTACAAAGCAAGGTACTATTGATAGATGGATTTCATTATATCGTTCCAATTTTTGTGGTTTGAATGTCAAAGGTATATATGAGGATTTTCTACTTCTGTGTGGATCATCAAGAGGGTGGTTCTTTCCAAAAAATTGGGGGAATCCTCCAATATTTAAGCACCCCGGCTTTAATGAGACAATATCCCTTGAGTTGATGACATTATAACTACATTTATTAAGTAAAACCAATTCACTCACTGACAGGGAACGTGGTCTGAGCTTGGACCATCATTAGATAGGTTAGTTTTACCCTCCTGATGATGTGTTGTTGTGATCCTGCTGTCACTGTGTCACCGCTGTACAATTGTGGCCTACAGTTACATTTGCGCTCATAATGTATTTCAGGCGTTTCTCAATTGCCCCATTCTTTGCGCCCTCACGCTCCATTCCTTCCCCAACGGCCTTTCGCTCGGCCTGGGTTTGAAAAGCCAGAAGACAAAGAGCTCTTTCACAGTGCGCCGTGTCGGGCCGGTCACAATGCCAGGCCGCGGTGCCCAGACATGTGCCCCGCTCCTTGCACCACCAGAGACGTCCATTAGACCCACGTCATTATCACCAAACACGAGGCCATTCTCGCTCCGGCAGCTCTTATCGGGCCAATTAGAGCCGCGGGGAAGATGAGCCGCGTCAGCACTTTGCAGATAACGGGCAAACAGGCAGCAATGTGATGTGATGTCGCTATGGGTCGTGTTAGCTCGTATTAGGCTGCACGGAAAATGAAAAATATTGTATTGATGTTGACATTGAAAGAGAACAGATGCATGGTGATCTATAAAACATTCAAGATGTGCTATGTATGCAGAACTCACATACATTGTAAGAACCTAAGTGGGAAGCAAGCCAGCAATACAAAAATGGAAAAAAAAAAATACAACTGAATTTTTTTCACTTTTTTTAACATCATGGAGATAATATTATATATGGGTTGAATAATATTTTGAACAAAATTAGTGACAGTATTGTAGATTTGTTTTTTTTTTCATTATTTTTTACTCCATTGCGTTAATGTGTACCATGAGTAAAATAAATAACGTGGTTGTTTTCCTGAGAAATTAAGTAAAACATGCCATGGTAGCACATTGGACGGATGGGAAGAAGCAGATAGCTGATATCTTTTTTAAATAGTATCTCCAGTTTTTATGCCACTATATCAAACGCTGCTGTTCTTACACCGAGGTCAGCGACACTGTTTACTGGTCACCTGATTAGTAAACCAAATTACCATCTTATTGAATGCTATTGAGAACCATTTATCCAACCACTTCTAAATGAATGGCCTTACTACACACACTTTTAGAGCATTTGATTCCGTTCACTATTCCCCCATTTAAAAGATAAGAGAACCTTTATCGGTCCCACAGCGGCGATATTTCACTGAACTAAACCTCGATAATGAACTTGTATCTTGCTTGACTGAACCCGTATCTCTGCGTTCTCTCCTCACGGCTCACAGAAGAAATTGCGATTCCCATAGACATGCTTAACGTATTAATTTTGGGCTATTTTCTTCCTGCTCCTATCATTTAAAAGCCGGAATAACCCCAGAGCAAGTCAGTGGACTCAGCTAAAGCAAACCGTCAATGCATAAACGTGAAGAATGTAAATACCCACGGGTTGATCTCCTGCTGTGCGCGGGGCATTATAGAAAAACTAACTGGGTCACGCGGCGAACAGAGGCGCCGATGTCCTCAATGGGTTTTAACGTTGCAACATCTATGAGCTGCTTTACCACAATACCACGCTTGTATTTGAAATGTAAAGTATGCATGAGTGCTTCTTTGCCTTCAGGAGGAACTCAAAAGTCTTTTCAAAACTTCGGCCCGGCGCATTCATATTCTGGTCTGCGCTTGGCTGCTGGAAGAAACATCAAAGCAGCGCCAATCCATTAGGTGAAATGTAGCTTCTGCTCTCTTATCGTTCACCGTTTCGTGCTTTTGATCCGGATCCTTCAAGGCTTCGCTTCCACTGGGGTTTCTGCCTTGTTTTCTATAATGAGTGCAATGAGTTACGTGTATGGAGTAGTAATAATGGCTTTTAAGGGGGGATCATGAATAGGGCTGGGAAAAAAATCTATTTAATAAAAAAACATTAAGTTGATAGGCCAAGACGATTCATTTTTAAAGAAAATCTAAGTTTTTAAAGTAAAAAAAAAATCAAAAATGTATGTTTTTTGGGGGGGTGACTTGCCACACTCTAGTCTTGCATGCATTGTGTGAAATGAGAAATACATTGTTTTTATCTGATGGATCGTGAGGTGTTTATTCAAAGGACGGATGGAGAAAGTGAGATGAAAAAAAGAAAGCCTAAAATTTAAATTGGTGTTTTGAACCACTTATTACGGCGCGCCCAAACCAGGAATGGCAATGATTAAAATGACTCATTACATCAAAGTGCACCGAATAAACATGTTCTTAAACAAGGCTAAGGTGTGTATGGGTGTGCGTGAATCCTGCCCAACCTAACATTACTGCGCCTGTGAAAATGCTCAGAAATATGTTTTAATAATAGCAAAAGAAAAATCATCTGCAGAAAGTGTACGGTGAATGCTGTGTTTGAGCAATATGGTTATGTATGTATGTGACAAAACAAGGGCTTATTTGGCTTCTAACTATGCTGCTATACTGGCCTTGATTCTAACCAAAAAACTAAATATTTGAATAATTCTCAATTTTGGTAAACGCAGCTACAAAACGAGGACTTGATGACACTGGCGTACCTCTCGGATGTCCTGGGAGATGGTGTTCAGGCGCTCGTTCTCGGACTGCGTGTTGGTCAGCAGGTTGCGGTTCTGTCGGAGCTCGTTCTGCAGTTCCAGGACCCTCTGCTCGTAGTAGGCCTCTTTACACGCGGACTCCAGGATCAAGGACTCTTCCCGGCTCTCTCCGTCCGCCGCCACCTTCCTGTGGTTGGAGTGGACCTGTCCGAACGCCTGCGAGAAAACAAGACGGATCTTTAGCCCGTGTGTTTATCAAAGTAGATTTTGTTTGGTATTCATTCAGGTTTGAGACTACACAGTATGACAGTTCGTCTCAGGATGCAAGATGAGAAATGATTCAGGTCGCAGTAGTCTGTAGAAACTGAATCATCTCATATTCCCAAATGTGTTCCAGATTTTCTTCACGGGTTTGATGTATTCCTCACGTGCTTGTACATCGTTTCAGAAATTGTTAAACTGATGCTTCAATTTTGGTAGCATAATTTATTATATTAAAGAATAACAGATTTGCCAATGGAATTTGGAACAAGCTATTTCACAACCAAGACAAAAATCCCTGCTTAAAATGGGATGTTTTCCCCTTTAATTTAAGCAATTTTAGATTTGCAAAGAACTTCAATAATTGCAGTCTTTTTGATTTGCTAATTGCGTCCACTAAAATAGCTAATGTGATTGCTCATGTCGTACAGCCTTATCTTTTCTCCTTAAGGAGTGCCCTTGCAGGCCAGTATGACATGTGCTACACAATTAACATTTCGTCGTCTTTAAATTAGTTTTTATCTAATTAAATTCTTGCGTTAGACTTAACACAGAACAGTCTACAGGTATTTTCTGTGAAGAGAGAGAGGTTTCATTCATCTTGCCTCACAAACAGATTCAACAAAGGAGAAATTACTACAGTAGAAAGAATCTAGGTTAGACCTCCCCATCGCAAATGTATCATATTTACTATTATCCTGTTGTACCCGAAGCACCGAGGATGCGAGGAGATGAAAAGTGTAATTTTCTTTGCACTGAGTAGCATCACGTGAGCTGCCCCTGACCCAGTCTCCAGCTCTGCACTCTGCTCTGTCTCTCTCTCCACTCTCTGACCCGCTAACCCTCCATGACTGCACGTGTCTGTCGGCTGCAGGATTTTCCCCCGGTTTCACTCCATATTGTATTAATCCCAGTAATTCCTTTAGAGGAAGGGAATCTGGAAAATTCGAACAAGTCCGACTGACCCAGTTTGCAAGGACTTAACGAGAAAGTGCAAAACTAATTCATGCAGGTTAGAGGAGGCTGTGGTCTCGTGCCGACTGTGGAGAAAAGTGTTTTTTTCCAGCTGTGGTGTGAGATTAAAGACATAACATACTTCCTTCTGCTATATGGTGATAATCTATGACACCAGTGGCTCAGAAATAAACACTTAGTATCTTTGAAATGTCATTATTGATTTAAAGCTACGGCCAGGATTTTCTGTATTCAGTCCAGCTCCATCACACAGCTCACAAAGGCAAGCTCCACTCAACTCTGTTTGCAAATCAAGACAGCAAACAGCAGAGTTTATACCATTGTCTTCAGTGCGCCTTAGATTACTGTCTTATTGTAATAAACCTGAGCATTTGGATGTGAGACGGACAAAACTTCATATGAGATATAAATTCTTATAATCAATAGAGGATTCCCGTAATCAATAATCATACCCGCGGTGATAAACCAGGACTATAAGAATCCTGCGCCTATGCATTTGTTATGTTATCATATTTTTCCAATGTTCGAACGGTTTGATTCTCTGATTTAAGTTGTATAAAGTCCACTGAGACGACTGATTTAGGGCTATAAAAATTTCAATCTCTTATAAAGTGTTGTCCGTCTCTCATCTAATTTCTGAAATAAATGGGACCTAAAGGGTTAGGGTTAAAACCAACAACAGATTAGAAAATATAAACTATTTTGATTTGCTATCATACCTGAATGATATGGCTACAGACAGAGATTACAATTTAGAATATCCAATTCAACCCGGCTACAAAAGTGAAAGTAGATGTATTGATTAAACATAGTAACAGTGGGAAAGACAGGATTAACTCCATCAAAAAGAGGAAATCTCATCATTGTAATCTTTTGGAAAGCAGAGCAATCATTCCCGAGCTGCAACCTCTGCCAAACGCCACCAACCTAAGGCCTGTAATCTGAGGGCTGGTCTGGGGCTGGATTTGGGTACTTTTAAGAGCGGTCACATTGAGGACACATGCAATCAACTCTATAATAAACTATAATCTCCACTAAAAAGCCGCCCAAATGATAAATCATCAGGGGCCATATGCTGCTGTTTCGTGCCCACCGATACTGGCGTTAAGCGGATGTGAGGCTAATCAAAAACACGCTTTTAGGGAATTTGCTGGAGATAAAAGTCTCCCAGGGCCAGGGATGGACAATTTTAGCCAAATATTACACATTTATGGAAATTCTTACAAAGTTCTTGTGATTTATAGACATATTATCTTCATTAATGTAAAGATTTTAGAGAATATCAACTGAGGTTACCAACAGTACAACCAATTTTTTGCTTTTCTCCTTTACCTTAACAACTATTTCTCACACAAAAATAGAGAAGGCTCAACTAAAACAAAAGCACTAAATCCAGTTCTATGACAAGAAATGCTCATATAAATATACTGTACATACACATCTTATTTCTATCACATATGCCGTACTTTGGTAATAATTGTGTTGTAGTTGTGATTTACAACCAACTTTTGATTAATCCAGCAAAACATTACACCTTTCTTGCATTTTTTTCTCCAGAAATGTAAAGGTTTTTGGAAACACTTATCAATTTCCCATCAGTACAAGCAATGCCTCGATTGAAAGATTTTCCAATAGCCACAAGAGATGCTCATAAAACTATACATACAGCTGGATTCAAACACGTATATGCCATGTTTTGGTAATAATTGTGTTGTATTTGTGATTTTCAACTAATTTCTTTGATTCATTCTGCAATCTCGGCATGTCCTTACTTTAAAAACCCGTTATTATGTTGAAGTACTGATCAAAGCACGGCCCAGTGATCAAAAGCATGACATGGCAGCTTTCCAACTCAAGCATTCAGAAATAATTCAGTCTCTCTATGTCTTGGGAATGTTCATCTCGTGTTTTTTTTCTTCTCTAATTCTTGTGAAGTTGAAGGAGAAACAAGAAAATGCAAGTGATATGATCAAGAGGCTGCTTTAATAGGAAACCATGCGTAATGTTGCATCCTGGTTTCTAACATACATCTCCAGAGATCAGGTTTCATTTCAATCGCCAAAGCTTTCATACGTTGCCATGAGAACATTGTCACTGGTGTCAAGTCCAACCAACCGTCTCTGTGGTTGAATTCATGTCAGAACGTGAACCGACTGTCATTAAATTATATACAACAACAACGATTTACAAAGTCCACTGATTACAGAGCACATAACAAGTCAAGGTCCAGCTCCACCCAGAGTACAGTGAGTATACAGTAGTAATAATAGAGATATATGTGGAGTCATTTTTTAAAAACGGTGTAATAAAACAACATTAACTCACGCCAGTCATGGGGCTGGATCTAAAATAATAATAATACATTTTTTTTTACTTAATCTCAATAACTTTATGTGAAAGAGTGCTTCTGTATTTTCTATAGAGGTGGTCTGCAAGAACTTGAAATTTAGTGAAATTACAGAAACTTATAGATTGTTGTGTAAAACTGTCGGAAGAAAGGTCTGAGGCATTATGGCATGGAATGAGCCACCCTCTTCCACACGTGAAGAACTTTTGTCAGGGTGTATCTTTATATGAAGTTGATTGCAATCAGAGGTCCCTTTCTTAGCTGGTGGGTTATGGAAGTGTATGTGTGTGAGGGCAAATATAGAAATCGTTGTCGATAGTTTACATACACTCAAACTCATGCTGAGAAGAGGTTTTATGACTCAGATAATTCTACAGACTCCGATAATTCTACAATGACTGCAGAATGAAATATGTAAATGGGTTTTATTTCTAATCAACAAACTTAATCTGTAACAAGGCATCTCTACAGTATGAAGATGTTCTCCAGGGGCTTTGTTTTGGTCAAATGTATCCTCAATCTCATATTCAATGACCTTTTGCGATCTGAACAACTCAGACAAATTCAACAAAAGAATAATCATCCAACTAATTGATCAAAAATAATTATTTATTTCAGCCCTTATTTATTGTATATATAATTGTTTATCCAGTAACAGCCACAAGACGGTAATCCTCAGTAATATTTAAATATAAATATGTGCTGTGGGGGTAATGTTTTTCTTGACCGCTTGTGAGAAGAACAGAGCAAACACCTCCGTGTTGATGGTCTTGCGTGGGCTGAGGCTGAGGAGGTCGGCAGCCGCATATTTGAGCAGTGACGCAGCCATGGCCCCTGAGAACTCCCTCAATGTGCTGCTCTTACTCATACAAGAACAAGACTGCCCAGAGCTCAGAGCTGGGATAGACCAGAGAGAAGGAGAGGAAAGAAGGAGAGGAAAGAAGGAGAGGAAAGAAGGAGAGGAAAGAAGGAGAGGAGGAGATAGCAGTAGACCACCCTCTGAACGCAGTCCTCGTGAAGGGCAGCTCACGTGGACTCAAGACTTCCGCAGACACAAACAAACGGCTAACGTCTTCCGTTAGCCCGGCTTCACATTTGGATTCACACACTGCTGCGCTGCTAAATATAGACGCTGTTATCATCTGACCAAAGCTCAGAGCTCCTGAGGCATGAGGCTGTGTCTGCAACCCACCGCTGCATTTATTCTCGATGACACTAACAGTGGTTGAATGTGTGCTAAAATGTCTAATAAGTTTCTGTTGAGTTGTCGAGTGATTCATCAACGTGCAGCAAAAAGCTAATAAAAGAAGCTACAAACTAAGGATTTTTAAAAGGAAAATGTTTTACATAGATCTATTGACTGTTTGTATGTGGGAGCAGATACCTTTCTCAATTTCTCCCAGAGGTTTCTTACTTGTTTCCAACTAGGGTCTGTTCTGAGACATTTATCAACATTAATGGGCAGTGGTCATCCTGCTTGGATAAATGGCTTCTATGTGTTTGCTATTATTGCATTTCCTGTCTGTCTGATCTGCTGTAGGTGAATCCATAACTTCATTAAGTCCTCCAAGACGACTGCTATTGTGGTTCAGGGCAACACAATACATTGAATTGAAAAGTTTCGAAAAAGCTGCCTTTATCCTATGATTTTGGGTACTTTTACACCTAAGTTCAATATTGTATCATCAAAGACAAACATCTGGGTGTAATACAGTCAAATATAAGTGTTATACAGGGAGAGGTTCATTCATTTTCAACAACAAATATGGGCTAATTTTCCAGGAGAAAAATGTGTGTGAAACTTGTACTGAATACCACAGTTTGAAACCATTTCAAACTTTTTATTATGTTTCGTTTGGCATCCACTTCTGAATCTCAGCAGGCCTTTGATCTGAAATGTCACCCTTGGTATCGACATGTTTTCATGGAAGCAAGATCTAATCATGATCACATTAAGGCTCAGAGGGGAGTCCAAGAGCACGGTCACCAGTTTATACTAGACCTTGATTTGTTATTGCTCATGAATAAACACGCAACAATATCTGAATTCATCAAGAATAAGAATGGGAAAATCCATTCATTGGTCAAACGTAATTCTTAGCCCTAGTTTTCTGTTCGAACTATCCAAGACAAACCGCTGTTTTTCCCCCAGTCCCTGTGTTTATCATTGTGCTGAGGAATGCGCGTCACATGGACAGAGCTTGTTTGGGTTTACACAGTTTTCACACTGAGCTGCTGCTGATTAGACACAGTTATGTTCAAGTCAATGCCGCTCGCTGTAATGAGTAACACGGATAGAAGATTATGACTCTCAGGATTGTGCGGCGAAAGCAGCAGACTGGAAACGGTAAAAAGACTAGAAATTATGATTAAAGGTGGAGCTAATCCATTCACATGTGAGGTTATAGGCTGGTTCCATAAAGAGTGACAGTGAAAGAAAAGATTGTGTAGTAAAGGTCCTAATATTAAGTGGATTCATTGGATAAAAAGCATATGCAAACTATCTCCTGACAAGGTGTGTGCTAAAAAAATGTTTTGGGATAAATATCAATACTTTTCAATCTCCACTGGGGGACAAATTTATGTTCAATAATTTAGATATAAATGCATCAGTTGTGTTGTATTTCTATATAAAACAGGATCGAAGCATTAGATAAGACCAAACGCCTTGATTTTTCACTGAACTGCATTGTTTTGTTTGGAAATATATCGTATTGCATTCAACACCCAGCCGACTCCTGGCACTACCCAATAAATTGCAAACCATTTCTGTATTTGAGCAGCATTGCACATGCCATTGACACAGCTGCTGAAAACAAATGTTGAACAGTCTTGAAACAAACTCAATTTTCAATAGTAATTTTCGCTCCAGTTCGTCTTCCCATCATTTCAAATAAGGAAACATTTCATACGAGTAGACCATCATCTGGCCAACAAAGAAACAGCCACAGAAAAAGGTGCTGAAATGCGTAGGAGGGAGGACGAGATATTTGAGAGTTGTTAGTTGGCACGGAGCCATATTGATTTTCAGTGCGGCACCGAGCTGCAGGGCTTTTTATACCGACTGGAGGATTTCACACTCTCCTCCACACTCACGCTCACCCAATCTCTCCAGAGTGCGCTCGTGTGGAGCCCTGTGGAGACTCTGTGCTGCCTCTGGTTAGGGGATGGCTGCTGAAACCTGCCGGGTTTTTAAACAAGTCGAGCGGTTCTGCTCAGGGCTCAGAGCTGACTACAAACAGAAATCGTACCCGAATCACAAGTTCAAAAGGCAAATATATTTATAAAAGAAAAAAGAAAAACATCTGCGGGCTCTCGGTTTGTAATGAGGAGGTGCACAGACACAAAAAGATAGTATTGTAATGAGGAATATTTGAACTAATACAGAAAACTCAACATTTATAATGTTCAGGATTCAATTACTGTTGTTGTTATTCTTGTATCTCAAATCTGCAGACTCTTGTGCAACAGAGACTCAGTCAATAATCAGGAGGAAGCACATGTTTATGCTGGGCTCAGTGTATTGTTGAGGGATGAAGACCTAATCTCAAAGGCCTGTATATTTTATATTGTACAGCACCTCCAGGTCTGGGATCATTATCGCTCATATCGCAGATCGGCTCCAGTTTTGGTTTCCACCACCTCATTCATTTGCAATGCAAAGAGCGCCTTATCACAGGCTGCCTGTAGTTCCTCTTAAGCCCAGAATAGAGGGTCTGTGTCTGGATGAGTCCTCCCAGGTCCACACGTCTATTCCCCCAGGGGAGCACACGTCATTATGGTAACATTGCCAATTACAGTGGCATCGGTCAGCATAGGTAGCACAGGGGGGTGCCACCAGTCCAGATGGTACTATCAGAGCTACAGATTGTCCCCCTCCCCTCTCCTCCACACAGCTCCTCAGCGCCGCTAAAGCCAGTCAGCACAGAGAAAGAGATTCTACAATATCTGCCCTTGAATTGGTGCACTGGGCTAAGCATAAGAATCCAGAGTTGCTTCAAATTGATCTGCTTAAAAGTCCACTTTCAAAGGCATCTCAATTTTAGAACAATAGTAATTGAATCATTTGATTTCCGCAGAGAAATGTATGTTTTCTTCATGTGTCTCAAGTAACGCAAACAAACAATGAATCGCGTGCAGAGGGACACTGTACTTCATCCCAATAATCAACATCAGTTTTTCCCCTGCGTCCAAATACATACATTTAAATACATACACACTATACATCTGCTGGCCTTGTCTCAGTACTGTAGTATCCAGATTATGTCATAACGCATAATGCAGGTGCACGAGTGGAATGGTTTGATCCTTGTTTTTCACATCACAACATTTAGACAATTAGACATGGCGAGCGATCTGGTCTTCACTAGTGCTTTGTCAGTGAATGAGCTTATACTATCTGCCCTTGAACTGTTTGCACTGTGCAAATCTGACCCAGGTCTCTATCATAACAAACTCCCACAATCGGTCGGTCCTTGAGCCATGTTCCCATCATATCCCTCTGTGAGACTTACATGAGACTACAGCGCAGAGACACATGCTGTAGCTTAAACGACAGAGGAGCGGAGCAGCTGCGCCACAGCTGGGACCAGCGTTTACCGCACTGACCCAGAGCACGTGAGGCTACATTCTTAAGCAGCGAAGGGGGGGAACTCAGGAAGCAACCAGGGCTCTGTGGATCCTGCTTGCTGCAAAATCAATTTGTTTGTCTGTTGTGAGCTTTGTAAAACCAGCAGTAATCATGACCTGTAGATACCACACTCAGGATGGATAAATCAGGCCGTGGCATTGACCGGAGGGTGGGGGATGGGAGGGAAGCATCATTTACGCCGACGTGACATCTCGGTTCTTGTGTCGTTTCTTATCATAATTCTTTGTCCCGTTTGCTCCGCATGTGTCACACAGCTAAACCATAAACTAGGCCTGAGTGCGTCCCATGTGGGCTGTTCCGGGGTGCCCCTAATGACGGGGTCCTGGTCTGGACTGGCCCTTCCTCCAACCAGACTCTATGGTCTCCTGCACTACACAGAGTACGTAATTAAAGGCTTTCTGTGACTGTTTGGAATTGTTGTTTTTCTGTCTTTAAAGCAACAAGGTCATGTTTTGAGGTCAGTGTGTCAGTTCTCAAACCTAAAACCTTGACAGAAAACTGACCATTTGGTCTATTGATACTCTTGGCCAGAATTCTATCAGTTTTCTAAACATAATGTAGAGGCCTTTATACACCGCAGACCTGTGCTTTTTGACCCAGATTGGAATGCAAGGGCAGCATGGCAGCATGACAACAGTGGGAAGCGGAGATGGGTTGTTTTGACCCGTGTTGGAGTGAAATGCATTGTAATGGACAAACTACAACAAGCTAATCATTCATGCAGAGCTATAAACATGTTCAAACAAATTTTTTACAAGTTTCTAAGGAAAGAGTTTGTGCAAAAGCCCACACTTTGATTCTAAGAGCTTGTTACGTGGCTTGTTGCGCTGCCAAGTATTGTCTTTCTGTGACTTGTGTAGTTTTATAGCCTTCTTCACCTAACCCACATGTAAGCAAGGGCCTATAAACAGTTTGGTTTTGCTGCTGTCTGAATTACGTCTATATTTGTTCGTAGTGTTCATACTGAACACGCCTCGGCAACAGGCGAGCGAAGCGGCATGACGGGTTAAATGCTGTGCCGTTAAACCCATCAGTCCGTGTTGCTCAGTTTGTAAGGAAGAGGAGACCAGGGGGTTTTGGACGTGTTTTTGCTCAGTGGGACTAACCCTTAGGATTGCCAAAACACAACACATACAATGAACGCTGCACAAATGCAGGAAGCTCCAATCTCCACGTTGCTGCTCATTTAAATTCCCGGCTCTTTAAACGCATTGGAGCAGCCGATACGTCGCTTTTCTTCTCTCTCAAAGGAAGCGAGCTAGTTCCCACAGAAAACCAATGCCTCGCCCCTCCTGTCATTTTTCAAGGATCCCAGAGAGACTGGCATGCATCCAATTAAAACACCCCAAGTTTTTTGCACCATGTCTTCTTCCATACCCACCTCCAATTTAACCATTTCCCCACTTCTAGAGCTTGCCTGCGGGGGTTCAA